TAGGAATGAGCCTTGTTCTGAAAAAGTGGATATATGGTCATATGGTGTAGTATTGTGGGAACTCTTAAGCGGAGAAGTACCTTATAAAGATGTAGATTCCTCTGCAATCATTTGGGGTGTGGGCAATAATTCTCTTCATTTACCAATTCCCGCAAGCTGTCCAGAAGGTTATAGATTACTTGTAAAACAATGTTGGGCTGCAAAACCACGTAACAGACCTTCCTTCAAACATATTGAAATTCATCTCGGTATTGCAGCAGTTGAAGTACTATGTACAAAGCCTGATGATTACTTTAAGACGCAGGTAAAACGATAATTTTAAAAATTCGGTTGAATAGAAATAATTAAAAAATTAAGAAAAAAATAATTATTATATTTACAGCAATCTTGGAAAAAAGAAATTAGGGATCATATGAAACAAATGCAAACAAATAGTTGTAGTAGTCCAAGATTTGAAGCTGATTTGATTCGGCGACGTGAGGATGAACTAAGACATGCTCAAGATATTCGAGAACACTATGAACGCAAACTTGAACGAACTAATAATTTGTACTTAGAGTTAAGTGCTGTTTTATTGCAGTTGGAACAGCGTGAACGAGATGTAATCAAGTAAGTAATAAGTTGAAAAGATGAAGTATTTATAATAAGTAATCACAAATAATATGTAGTAAGTAATGTGTATATTTTATTTTTTATTCTTTAGACGAGAACAACAGAATGGATATAAGCAATGTAAGAAACGTCTTGTACATCCCCTTTTGAAGGCTCAAGAAAGACTTCATCGTAGGCGTAATCCTACAACGCAATTTTCAACATCATCTACACCAACAACTCCACCATCTCCAACAGATTGTCCACAAAGTCCTGTAAAGGCAACTATGTATACACAACTAAATGAATCCAATCAACCAGAAACAGTTTTGGCACCTACCAACAGTTTTAAACAACGCAAATTTAGGCATCGCAGAGTAGGATCTGGATGTGGTGTGAATTCTAGCCCACGATCAAGTCCTCATCGTGAAAGAAAAGTATATATTTTAATATAAAGATATATATTTTTTATTCAACAGAAATAAAATATAATGATGAATGAATGTTTGTTTTCAGAGTACAGAAGTATGTGCACGTTTTATTGATAGTCAAACACAAACAGATATAATGGACATCAGCGAGACTGATTTTAGTCCCGTTGGAAATACAACAGCCGTTTCATCGACAGAAAAGCTTTCTGTAAATAGCATTAATAAACAGTCATTAAGTAAACAAGTACCAGAGTGTTTGAATGGGAATTCAGTTATATCCGAAGCTCATTATAGAATGCAATCTAGTCCTTGTTCCAGTCCTGAACCTTCAAATGAAAATCGGGTAAATGGAAATGAACGTTTAAAGGACTGTAGTGACGATGATAATCTTGAAACGCTTGGACGAAAAGTTAGTGAAATTATTAACGCCAATCGCCTTATTTCTCCTATAGATAATGGAAACTGTGATGATGTAGTACAACACAGGTAAGATGTATTTAATATGTATGTACACATAGAATTTAATAGTGATAATTGTACATAACAAATAATAATCAAATTCAGAGGTAAAGAAGAACCTGTGAAATTACCTGGACATTTTTGTGGAATTATTGTTAACGGTACTAATACACCCCAAGAACAATCGGAAATCAAAACTCGGCCTTGCTCTGAAAGTATAGATACTTTATGCGATCATGAAGATGATGCCTGCGAAGAAAGTTGGTCAGATGAAGAAGGCGAAGATCCAAGCTACACATATAATTATTCTCTTAGAAGAAGAAGGTACTGTTCTTAGAAAACTTACAAACGACAAATTAATTTAATTTATACTCTAAGTTAATTTATTTATTTTAAAGTATTGCAAGAAGACCAATTGGCCCTGGATGTAGATTAAGAAGATTTAAACATGCGACAGTAAGAATAGAAGGAGTATTGGCTTCTGATGAGGAAAATACTTCCGAATATTCGCATCCTCCGTCCAGTCAATCCTCCACATTAGAAAGTAATCCCGATATGCAAAGAGTATTTCGCAATATTCACTATTCTCATAAGGTGAGTTACAATAAATGTTATTTATTGCTTCTAAATGTGTTATGTACAATATGATATTAACTATATTTTTGCTTTTATTTAGAGAAAAGAAATAGATGATGCTTCTGATACATCAAGTCAATCAGAAACAGATGAAGTCAGTGAGATTACAATTGCATCTCAACCAGTAGGTGCACATTTAAAAATAGAAAGTAGTGTTTAGATTAACACAATTTTTATATCTCATTTACGAGTGATATAATGTAAGTACCTAACAGCCAGTGCATTTTTGTAGCGTATGCTCTCATCCTGTGTTAAATATTGTAGATATTTACTCCAGTAAGGTATATGTTAGATATATATGTACATTAATTTTATGCATTATTTATCAATGAAATATTATATTAATATTCCAAGAATTTTGGACGGTTACTGAAGAAAAGTAAAGCAAGACATCTCTGGAATCATGTTTTGAAAATTAATTGAAATTAAATTTCTTTTTTTTATGTTTATTATTCAAGTTCAATAATTGAATTCTTACAATGAAAATGAAATTTCTATCATTATTTATGATAAGATTTATTCTACACTATAAAAAATAGACATTTAAAACAATAATTACCTTTTCTAAAACAAAAAATAAAAAATAAAGTATAGATTAATATTTTGAATGGAAGCGAAAATTTACAAAATCATGATTAGTAACATGTTACTATATAGTATTATTTGTAAATACGTGCACCTCATGCTTTCATATGAAAGAGAAAATAATCATTACTTCTTCAAATATTCATTCCATTATCTTTTACTTTTTTTATAGTTCCTTTTAGTAAATACTATTCGCAGCTAAGTATGAATTTATTACCTATCATATGTTGCATTTATTTCATATCATTAACAAAAATTATTCAATTCGTGCTGCATTAATCATTCCTATGATGAATCAGTTATTGATGATTGTATCCATTTGTATGTATATATAAAATCTACCATAGTGTAGAGACCAATTAAAAAAAATAGTAAACTCGTGCATTGTACGGTAGTTTACGAAAAGGTATTGTATTCAAATACAATGAAGTCGTAACGTAATAAGTGTTGCATTAGAAAGATATACTTTCGAAAATGATTTAGAAAATATGTAATGGAATGACAATTATTAAATAAATTTTACAACATAAGTGCCTATGGCAATTTGCATAAAATACACCAAACAGTAACTATTAAAGTGTTAAAATAAAAAAATTAATCAAATTGTTGTGTGCAATATGAAGCAATTAAAGCTTGTAATTGGAAATAGAATAATATCAGTACAATAATTTTTCAATCCAATAAACATTCAACTATTCTGATAAAATTAAATTATAAAGGACATGAGGTATTGCTTTAAGACTATTTTACTGCAACAAAGTCATTAAATATTTTTGATGCACTAAAACTTTTACTGAAAAATCTTACTACAAATGTACATTAAAGTACTGTAATAAATTTTATTATTTTGTTTCTCAATTAACAGATGGAAAAATCTAATTTAATGACTATGTTTAAAATAAAAGTAGTATAAGTTGTATCATAATATAGTCAAAACAGTGCAGGTTGTCTGAGTTTCAAACTGAAACTCAACAATAGTATTGGACTCTATGTAAAAGTCATACTCATTCTTTCAAATTAATAACAATCAGTATTGCAATTACACGTGCAAAACTAAACGATATTGTTAACTCAGTTGTCCAAAGTACTGTTCTGCATCCATCTATTGTACCTGCTTTGAAACTCAAATTGCCTTAATGACAATTACTATACATTGTAAATATAGACAATACAATATAGATGTAAGAAAATAGTACATAAGATATGGTATAACATTTCGATGTGCTCATTTGGACGAAATAATTAGTAAGATATACAAAGATGTACTTTATAATAATCATACATATTGTATCTATTATATTTATGCGAGTAGTTGCATAAATTGTTCCTTCTTGTGCAGTGGCAGCTAAACTGACTAGTTCTATTATTTTTTAATAATAGAAGCGATACATAAAATTTGTGTTATAAACAAATAAAGTTGATTTACAATAATCAATATACTCAGTTTAATTACAGACCTTATTCACATTATACAAATAATTTACTAATTTAATTTTGTTAAAGTAAAAAAACTTGATATAAGATACGAAATGTCAATGATTTATATATTTTTAATAATAAAGTATACATATTATTATATTAAAAACAACTTACTATCAAGAAAAGTTACTATACATAAAACAGTAAAATATTTCAATCATTTCCATACTTAATTATAATAGTAATTCAAGAAGTAGGCGCTTAATATATTTGGAAATAAATTCCTTTCTGTAATATCAATACGAATTTGATACACATTCAACACAAAACTTTTATCTGAATAAATCTTATTTACATCCATCAAGTTAGTAATTATAAATTCTTTTATTCTGTTGTAGAACATGTAAAAGTTAACTTTCCTAGATCTTGTAGCTTCTAAATATTTTATCGTTTTTTGCTTAATTACAAATTTTAATACATTATTTATATATACAATCTGATTAAACACAAACATTAAATATTGGCATGAAAGTATCAGTATGTTATGAAATGTAATCAAAGGAAAATTTATCTACACTTTTTCACGTGTATTCAATTTTTTTTAATAAATATTTCGAGATTCTTTTATAAATATAACTAAGATTCGAGTATAATATTAAAAATAGTGAAAAATGAGTAATTTTAACGTATTAATATTGAAATAAAAAGATAAAAATTAGAAAACACTACACTATCAGATCATTGATCAAAGTCATTTAAAACAAATTTAGTAAAAATATTTTTTCATAGAATTACAGTTTCAAATATTTTCTGCTTTTCTTAAACCTTTCATTGATGATAGAATAAAAAATTATATTTACTGTACCATAGTCTATAAATTTACCAGTAAAATGAATTATGAAGAAATTCAGCAGTGGATTTGTATAATGATGAAGCACTTTGTCTTAAGCCAGTAAGTAATGAAACAACTCCCTCTTTTTCATCTTCTGGATCATCATCTTCAGGTAAGTAATTCGGCATATCTTCAGCATCACCATTGGTTCCTGTATTGATCTGTAAAACATAACATATGTTATTACAGAAATATTGCAATCCATTTTGCTTTTGAAATTTGAAAACTTATTTACCAGTTTAACAAGATATTCTTGATTCAATTTATTTCTTGTCACTAATCTTGCTTCCATATCGTCTGAATTTTTTTGAATTGCTTCTGCAATTTGTTTTGCTGTGACATAACTTAATGTACGCATTGTAACTCGTTGATGTTCTACATCAACTACAAGGGAAACTAATCCATTGATTCTTATTAATATTCCCTCTAATTCTGCATGGGTTTCCTATTTTACATATTACTGATGTGAAATTTTAAATATTCAAAATTAAAACACAAGCATATTATTTATATTTACCGGTAATAAGCCTTGAACATGTAACACAATTACATGAGTTTTTAACTTTTTGGGTTCTATAACTCTCCTACATCTGCTGCGTAAATTGTATATTGGAGGTTTCATTCTTTCTATATCATCTTTTATACATTGTGCCCGTTTAGATATCTTTGGGTCATCTACACTGTACTTATTTATAATTGCATCTAAGGCTTCACGAATTCCAAAAGTAGAGGTTATATGTACATAATTATCCACATTTTTAACAAACATTTCCAAAATATCTAAACCTAAATTAACAATCTCGAAATCGGGTACTTCTAAGACGTATGCTACGTACGATAAAACTGTTTTATCCTAGAATTAAAAAATGTTGGTAATCATAAAACATAAATGAATTTGAAAATGTTTCTTACCTTTAAGATCGTGTCGTGGTTTGCAATATCATTTGCCAACTTTTTGTATGTTTCGAGAGTAATTTTTAATTCTTTTGGATCTAAAGAATCGTCCACGTCCATTATCTAAAAGCGTGATATTGACATTAATTTGCTGTTATACTAATATTATCAAAACAACAACAAAAAATGTGGTTTCACTTTTTACAGTGATCTATCTTCATTAACACTTATAGGCATTAAAAAATTAAAGGACTTTTGTCAATATTCTTATTTTAAAAAATTAGTGAATGCAACACACGCTTCACAGTAATCCAATGTGTTCACCCAACTGGTACATATGACAAATTTCAGAGGATAGAATTTAAATCATTTATCGAGTCTAATTTTGTAAGTTTACAATTGAATTATACTCTACATAATGTTAAATCGGAAATGATTTCATTTTTATTCATTTACAGCTTTTAATAAGATTCCAAACTACTTTTATAAAACGCGTAATTAAGATATTACAAAATGCATTTAGATATATTTTTCATACATAGAAAAATATATATGTTTTGCATAATATCAAATTTGTTTGTTTAAAAAAATGAATTTAAGATGCATACACATAGAGTATGCATAAATTCTGTATATAGATGTATATACGCAGTATGTATGCATACGTAATACGTATATGTGCATAAATACGCATAAACACATGTGTAATTCGAATAGATGTATCAGTTTTACCCTACGTAGTAATAACAGCAACAGTCATGCTACAACCAGCTGCTGCCAAATTGTTTCGATGACGCGTATATTATAGTGCAGTAGCGAAACTAGTGTCTGCATGACGTACTACAATAAGATGGCCGACATTCACTCTATCAGCTACCAACAGCATAACACCCGTATTACCTCTCTAATGAACTTCTTTTTTACTTTACGCAATCAAATACTTTAGACTTTTATTAGTGTTATCTTAAGTACTTGTAGAAAGAAGTTAATGTAGTATACGTTATTCAACAAACATAGAGGGTAATAGGGAAGTTAAATTAAACAGCACGTAAAGTAGCAACGTATATCTGACATATTTTCAGATACCCACGTACAGGTGATTGTTCATAAAGAGTGCTAGTGTAAAGTGTATATTGATTGTTAAAACAATGGAATACGTACTGATAAAAGACATACGGCCGGGCCAGAAAAACATTAACGTAGTGTTTATTGTTCTGGAAGTTGGTCATCCTACTATCACCAAAGAAAACCGCGAAGTTCGAACGTTTAAAGTGGCAGACAATACAGCATGTATGAATGTTTCAATTTGGGACGAACCTGGACAACTTCTGGTACCAGGTGACATTGTAAAATTAACTAAAGGATATGCATCTGTTTGGAGACAGTGCTTAACATTATATTCAGGAAAAAATGGAGACATACAAAAAATTGGAGAATTTTGTATGGTGATAAATGAACAATTAAATATGAGCGAACCAAATCCTGCTTTAGCACAACAAATGATTAATCAAAGTGGATCTGGTCCACCTGGTAGTAATGTTAATAATAGCATTACAAACAATGGAAATGCAAATAACATTGCTGGTCAACCTGGAAGACAACCATTAGTATGTTATTGTTGAACAGATTCATACCTTATAATAATATATTGACAATAACAAAGTTGTTTTAAATACTACAGATAGTATAATTATTTCTATTGTTTCAATATTAATTTGTTCTATCATAGGCAATTCAAAGTAATTCAACAACACCTACTAGTGGTACATCTAGTAGTTCTACAACAAAAAGTGGAAATAATAATAATGGTAGTGTTGGTGGAAATACTAGTAGTACATCAGGACTTCCAGGAGGATCTGCAAGATATTCTGGTGACTCAATAACAAAAACAACTGTTGCGGCAAAAACTAATTCTCGTGGTCGCGGGGGATATCGAAATGGTGGACGCAGTGACCGTAGATAACATATAAATAAGAAGCGGCTAATTATATATGTGTAATAAAAATATGCAACTGATTACATTCAGGTCAACTGTAATATACTGTTTTTCTAATAATCCTGTATATGTGTATTCATGAATTAATGTATACGATAGAGTCTGTTTAGAATATAATATCATGAATTGAAGACAATCCAATTAAGTATGGTAAATTAAAAAAACCATCAAGAATATAACAATTAAATGTTTAAAACATAATTTAATTTAACTATCTTTGATTTATATTCTTACAATCTTTGTGTTTCATAATTTCCTTAATTTAAAGTTGCAGGTTTGTCTTCAAATC